CTCCCTGGAGAGAACAATCATGGGAGAAGGAAAGGCTTCTTATGCACAGGGAGACAGCTCAGGGCACAGGAGAGTATGGAGAGATGGTCACTGGGAAGAGGTGGCTGTGGGGAGGAAGTGGGAGGGGAGCTGTTGCATTGTGGTAAACTGTGGTCAATGACATGAGTGAGACACAGTATATGTGAACTGCTGTATGGAAAGTGAATTTGCTCTGTAAATCTTCACCCAAATAAAAACAAATAAATTAAAAATAAAAATAAAAAAAGAAGAAGAAGAAGAGCCTCTAGCTTCAATGGGCTGGGAGCAGGAGGCAGAACTGAAGTCCAAGGTTGAGAGGCTTTCACCCAGCCCCTAGAGCCTGGCACTTTGAACTCATACTTAAAGCCTCCAGATTGTAAGAATAAACTCCTGTTTGTTAAGGCCATTCCATTTGTGGTATATTCCTGTCAGAGTGGCACTAGGTAACCAGAACACTTGGTAAAGTGGAGTGGCAATGAAAAAGAGAAAGGCCCTCTACAAGATGGATTGACACAGTGGCTACAATGATGGGCTCAGGTAGAGCAAGGATTGTGGAGCTGGCACAGCACTGGACAGAGTTTTGTTCTGTTGTACATAGGGTGGCTATGAGTTGAAGACAACTCAATGGCACCTAACAGTATAACCACAAATCTTTATGGAAATAGATTGCCCAGTCTTTCTTCTATGCAGCGGTTGTTGGGTTTGAACTACCAACCTTCTAGTTAGCAGTCAAATGCCTTAGGCACTGTGGTGGTTAAGTTTGTGTGTGTCAACTTGGCTGGACCTGGTTGTGTGGCTGAGCAGCTGAATGTAGTTATTCCCCATGGTGAGTTTGATAATTAACTCCATGGTGGAATGTGTTGGAGCAGCTGAGTAGCTGTTTGGGTATGTGGTCTGCTTCCTGTATATAAGAAACAGCTTTGGGGATTGTCTCTAGGTTATGGCATGCTTGAACCCTGCATGTAGCTGTGTCATTGCTTAGCAGCCTGCTATGCTCTGCCAACCTTTGGACTTTCAATGGACTTGAATTAATGGCCTGCCATGTGGTTTGGTAACATCAGGACTATGCCTTTTTACTTGTCAACCTTGGGCTTGTCAGCCTCAGCAGCCAGGAGCTGTCTGAGTGAAGAAAAACTTCTAGCTTCATTGGGCTGGGTGCAGGAGGCA